AGGTTAAACAACTCAGGTGGGTATCTGCTTCATTTTCGGTGACACAGATGTTCTGCTGTGCATCTCGTTGATCGGGATGCGAAGCACCACCAATACGAAGATACTGAGCTGCTGTTGTAGTGACTGACGTAAACAGTAAGGTGATTTGATTCTGATATTCTCATCAACTTATTGAGATCATAATGAAGAACTTGAGTTACACAAAAATGAAATCCTGAAGTTTTCATTTGAGGTAATAATTTACGGACATATGAGTAGGAACGTTTACAATTTTTTCCTAAATGGATGCATGTAAATCGACCCAATTTTCCAAAGACGATTTCTGTTGAGTTCCTGATCAATGCTCATCTGTAAAGGTTCCACAAAACGACGGCTATATATCTATAATACACAGAAATTCTCGACATTATTCTTGAATACAATCCAAAAAGACAAATTGATTTTTGTGATTCAAATTAGGGATCAGTTAGTGCATTTTTGTGATCTCACTTTGACTGACTATACGGGAAGACGGTCGCACAAGATTCTAATGTTACATTAGCAACAGTAACTGGAGTGATTTTAGTTTTTCCCGAGGGCATTCATGCATATTGTATCATTTTACTGTCAAGAATAAACTGCTTAATCTTAGTTTTACATAACCAAATATGGTGATGATTGATTGAAATAAGAAAGAATTCTTCGCTTCACCAATAGTCTGTAAGACGTCAGATTGTGGAGTCAGAATACTTAGATTTTTACCTGTCTCCATTTGTTGCCCCAGCAACATCTGTTACCGCCCATTTCCCTTCGTTATGTTTGCATTATTTCTGCTCAAGGTCATACTTTGGCAAACAGCGGGGGTTCCGGTGACGCTAATTTATTGGATTCCCCGGAGACTCGTCCGATACATTCGCCGCATAGTTTGTCAAATAGTTCTAATGACAGTGAAGTCCACACAAGCAACGGTTTCGGGACGGATAGAGGAGCATCGGTCAAATCTTTCGGCGCCCGTTATGCATCTGGTTTGAAAACGGGGAAAAAGTTGCGCAAAGCGCGTACCGCATTCACCGACCAACAGTTGAACGAGTTGGAGCACAGTTTTGACCGACAGAAATATCTGGCTGTACAAGATCGTATGGAATTAGCCGCTCGTTTGGGCTTATCGGACATGCAAGTAAAAACGTGGTATCAAAACAGACGGTAAGTTCCCTCTCGGGTTTAATATCCTAAGGATCATATTATCTTAGACTATATACGCACTACTCACAAGTAGTGAAAACTGTTTTCAACATTTTGCGCATGCCAATAGGGCTAATAAAAAGTTCCCTCCCTCAAAGTGTTTCATCAATAATCTCCCTTCTTTCTACTTCGCTCCTGTTCAAAATACTTAGTTGGCGTAAAAAAGGAGGTAAAAAATATTAATTGGGCAGGTCTTTTTGTAAATAAAATAGGCAGCAAATTTCCAAATAATGTCCGGTGTTTCCATTTTTCGTTGGAATTACTTCACCGATCGATTTATTTAAGTGACGCACATCTCTTTTCACACTGCGATCAAAACAATTTTCAATCTTTCTAGGGTGGTTAGAAATCCGTCTGACTCTATGCTACCATTAAGTTATCCTCATACAAACTTGATGGGATTTCGGACGCGAAGATATTTTTATCCGGGCACGTGGTTGAATTCACTAGCAGATTTTACTACTATGTTAAAGCACCACCAAATCCTGGCGCTATTTTCAGTAAACAAGTACTTCAGTCCGAACCCGTGCACAAACTCTGGATGTTTTTAATGCAACACAGAATGTTTCGGGGTTATGGTATATTTTTTATTATTTCTCGGCAAACATCACAAACATATTTTCAAACTCAGGATCTAACCTTATTTTTCGAGATCAGGAAACTGAATAAAGTAGTTCAGCATTTTCAAATTTTTGCTGAAAATTTCTAGTTTTTCATAAACGTATCACTGTTTAGTTTTGTGTAGAGTTTGCATCTACTTCATTCTCTTCAGAAGGCACCCACAATGCATATTCGCTAAGAACGGTTTGGTATACGCACGCAGGTACGAAAAGATTTCACGTAACCCAGTTGTTGATCAAATAGCTACACACTGTTAGAAAAGACAAACAGGATTGATGTGTCATCATAATGGGCTTATTGAGAGGCCCAGGGTATTGGAGTGGGGATGCATAGGGTTTCGAGGCATTCAATCGGCCAAACAAAAGCTAATTCATCACAGAGTGTCTACTAATCCAAGCAGTTATCAAGTAACTTAATCAATGGCTAAGTACATGAACGAGATCCTACCTTTAGTTTGGAAATATGAAAGAAGAATGACATTTGAGGAGATGAAACCTTCACAGCTATTTACATATCCAAAGTTTTCGCTTATTTGTTCATAAGTTCTTGGAGAAATCTATTTCTGCCTGACTAATCCTGTCACAGAAAGGGCTGTGAGTGGTAGGCAGCCGATCAAAGACGACTCCACTGAGGCCTACTTTCGACTAGATTCCATTAGGACTGGTGTTCAAAATGAGTCATCCATGCACTAGTAGAATATTGCAAATAATTAATCAGCGTACCACAAGGGGTAGTGTTTTGTCCCTCGTTTGATAGACAAATGTAGAAAAAGACATATTTGGAACATTTGATGGTATGAGCTACCATTGTCCAAAATTGGCCTAAATTGCTCGATAGCAGTTTCAGGGGATGCAAGCATTGCGGTCGATCTAGTGTTACCTTATAATGATCCGTTGGAAACATTTGAGGAGTCAATTCGATTTGGATAAGTTCTTTGATGATTTTGCCTGAGTTGAATCATCTTGAATTCTCCACAACAGGTCGATATGTAAAGTCCACTTGTGTAGAATAACGATGAACTTCATCATAACTGACTACTCGTAAGTAGTCACTGGAATAATATGGTTGTTCCAAAATCGAAATATTATTCATGTCGTGCACTGTGCTCACAAAGCTTTTCAGTCGTAGTGGACATGTCTGTCTTACCCTGTTCTTCTCTTTTGTTTCAGCAAATTTGATTTCGCGTTCGGTTAGGAGGAGGAATCTGAATTTTACAGACCTGTGCAATTATTTCTTGAAATTGAGTCCACATATTAGTAAAGAATTAGTTTCATTCACTTAAACGTGATCACCTTTCATGCGGAATGAGTTTCTATCTATCGAAAGACTCAGTAGACAATCTCAACGTTATCTCCTTAACAGAATCAGTTTATTTGTTTTGCCCAGAACCAAATGGAAACGTCAAACTGCGGTTGGTTTGGAATTGCTGGCTGAGGCGGACAACTTTGTGGCCGTGCAACGTCTGCTCCAGCAGAGTACCTACTGGGCTTACCACCCGGCGGCACAGTGTATTCTCGGGAACGGGGAACTCCTGAACCGATCCAACTTGAACAGTACTAGTTCCGAATCAGACCTAATTCTGGGCTCACAAAAACAGACAGACGTATATAAAAATGTGGACGGGACGAGTCCACCTTTGAGCAAATCTCTCCGGTCATCCGCATCCTCACCTACGATTCCCAATTCACGAGATGCGGATCGTGAGAATCAATCGATTTCCCCGGCACTACTCAACCTGGTCTCGCCACAACTCTCGGGCACACTGGCCAACCCGGTCATCACTACCTCAACATTCGCTGGCGGTTTGCCAGTTCATTCGCACACCCCGGAGACAGGACAAACGTGCGCTTCGACGCATATGGTCAATCCGATCGATTTGTTTTGGTTATCGAATTGGTTAACTCAGTTCAAATCAACCCGTCCACGTTTGAACGAGAATGGTGATACACAGGGATCGACGGACCAGTCGGAACACGTACTATCCACACTCACGTCGGAGCACAATGGAATTCAGACAGCAAAAAATGACGGCANGGCACATAAAATTCACAGTACTGGTGGTTCACTCCGAAACTATCACGTAATTTGTTGTACAGATAAAGACTGGTCATTTGGTCCCTGTGATGACTGGTTCAAACACTGATCTACTCCATTATCCTTTCCCCCCTACGCACTCCACCATCCGAGGTGGTTTTCATTTCAGTTCGGTTTTCTGCTGTTTCCTCTAGCACGAATGTCAGTGTTGAAGTTTTCAATCTTCCTCTATTCGCTCTCGTCAAATTGATTATACCAGACAAGTGGAATACATGCTAGCATTCCTGTTTGATAGGCAATAGATATCCTTACACGCATTTGTATTTGGGGTGGGTGTACGAGCATCCTTGATGTCGAGCTCATGAAATTTTCAATCCAGTCATGGTACCAAGCAAGTACTGTTCTTTTTTGTGCGATGAAAATGGTTGTGATAAGCAACAAAGATCACTGGACAGCTGTTTCGTCCCGTTTAGGACTCGTCAGCAGTGAGTACTTTTTGTGTCCCCGTCAGGACTCCAAC